ATATTTAGTTTATAAACTATGACATTTATAAATGTATGAATCATATGGTGAAAAACTGACTTTGAAAAATAAATCTGTTCTTTTTTCTTATAAAAGTCTAAATAAAACACAAATATTGGTGGTAATTTATGACTGTGTAACTTTACAAACGGCAGCCCACATGTGTGCTTTCATCCAGCTGTTTGCTTGTAATCCTGCAGCTGTGCTACAAGGAGAAATATTATAACAGCAGAGGTCAGCTGATCTCTCTGCCCATGACCCCTGAGCTCCTGCACTGCTACCAAGTCAACAACATCACCAGCGAGGTATCACATCAGTATTTACACCAAACAGGCTTCATATTCATTCTTAAACTCACTTAATTCTTAAACTGTACATGTTTGATGTTTTTAGCTGAAATACAAAGAAGATCTGATGTGGTTTAGAGGCGTCGGCTGCTTCTTATACAACACCCCAGAGATGGTCCACGTGCGCAACATCACCAAGTTCAGAGTAAGGCTTTAGTTTGGACGGCACGAGTTGTGCATTAGTGTAGTTTCTGTTGGTGTCAGAGTCATTTTTACAACCTGGTTTTTATTTATTTATTTATTTATTTATTTACAGACAAGCTATCCAGTGGAGGCCAAGAAGAACCTGCCCAACTTCACAGTGGTTCTGGACACTCCAGAGTACAAGCGTGTGACGGAGCTGAAGACACACATGAGTGATGTAAATGCTTCATCACATTGTGAAAATAGATCGACCTGGCCTGACTTCCTCATAAAAGAAAAATCGCAGACAGTTTGCAGTKTTCTCCAAGATTTCTCTAAAAATGTTAGCCTGGAAGCAGGTTTGAACTGACCTTTCCTGCTGATCTGTTTCAGATGGTCTACAGAGGTCAGAGCAAAAAGGAAATGTCCAAAGTTTCCTCCACTGTCGATTCTTTGGACATAAAGAGAGTCAAGTGGGCCCAGCAGCTGATTAATAAGGTTAAAACACATCCAAGCCCTTATTTTCATCCTCTGAATGTATTTATTGTTTCATCTAATCTTATTWATGCATTCTTTTTTCTACAGTACCAGTACACAGACCTGGCAGCAAAGGAGAGAAGTCATTTCACTCCAGAATCGGACACTCCAAATAACCAGCATGCCAGGAAAATGAAAGTGGTCTACAGTGACGTACGTCTCCTGTTTCCTCAATTCTCTTTTGTGAAGAATTTATCCTGATATTTCTTAATTATGGAGATTTTYAAAAATATTTGTTTTCAGTAACTTCACAAGCTATAATAGCCACAGTTTTACTACAGTAATATAATCTGCATTAAACTCAGTTAAAACCAAAAATCTAAAACTAAACTAACTTCTTATTATTGATACCGTTGATCATAACATGTTACTGTCACYYTTAGAGCAGCTGGTTGGMATCAYAGGCACAGTTTGATCCTGGTTTAGAGCCTACTTGACCAATTAGCAGTTTCTCTGTTCATTTAGAAGATAGCTCCTCCTCTACAGCTCCTCTGACTTGTGGGGTCCCCCTAGGCTCTGTTCTAGGCCCTCTGCTTTTTAATCTTTATATGTTGCCTCTGGGGTCCATTTTTAATAAATATAAGATTCATTTTCACTGTTTTGCTGATGACATTCAGGTCTACCTGCCTATCAATCCAGGTTTGATCAATTCATTCAAATCCCTCCTGAGCTGTCTGAATGACATTAAAATCTGTCTGAAATTAAATTTCCTGAATCTAAAGT